AATTCAACAACTTCAGTTCCATTGTTCTGAATTCGGCCAGTCAAATAGTCAGTTTCTTCAGGGGTTAAAATGGTGAGGGTTATTTTACAAAGAACATATTCGGAAGGCATAAGCAATGGACATATAAAAGAATTCAAAACTCAAAAAAATAATAAAACAGTGCATGATCTGGGTATGAGACAAATAAAAAATAGTAAAACAATTCATGATCTGAGTATGAGACAAATAAAAAATAATAAAACAATGCATGATATGGGGGTGAGACAAATAAAAAAATAATAAAACAATGCATGATATGAGAGATAAAACAATGCATAACCTGGGGGTTACTCGTACCTTGGAAAAAAATATATAAAACTGATGGGATTACGAGAAGGTAAAAAAAGTCTTGTATATAGGGAAAGTATAAGTTTTTTTAGAAACAACAAATAGATAAAATAGGTAACTTAAATTTTATTAGGTAATAATTTTTAGAGTTTTATAGAAACTCTTTTCTAGAGTTTCTATAATTTGAAATATATTTTGTATTAGAGTTTTAATAAATATTTTATTTGAATTTTATTAGGTAATAATTTTTAGAGTTTCTATAATTTGAAATATATAAATTGAAATGTATTTTGTGTTAGAGTTTTAATAAATATTTTATTTGAATTTTATTAGGTAATAATTTTTATATTTTATTTGAATTTTATTAGGTAATATTTTATATTTTATTTGAATTTTATTAAGTAATAATTTTTAGAGTTTCTATAATTTGAAATATATTTCATGTTAGAGTGTTAATAAATATTTTATTTGAATTTTACTATGTAATAATTTTTAGAGTTTCTATAATTTGAAATATATTTTGTGTAGCAAGGCAAAAAAAGACTTATATATACCGAGAGTACATATTTTTTTTAGAAACAATAAATAGATAAAATAGGTAATTTGAATTTTATTAGGTAATAATTTTTAGAGTTTTATAGAAACTCTTTTTTTATTTTTTATTTTTTTTTAGATTTCTATAATTTGAAATATATTTCGTGTTAAAGTTTTAATAAATATTTTATTTGAATTTTATTAGGTATAAATTTTTAGAGTTTCTATATTTGAAATGTATTTCGTGTTAAAGTTTTAATAAATATTTTATTTGAATTTTATTAGGTAATAATTTTTAGACTTTCTATAATTTGAAAAGGTTAACCTAAAGGCCGAGAATGTAATACTACATTTGATTTTAGCCAAAAGACCGAGAAAGGTTAGCCAAAAGGTCGGGAAATATGTGATTATTATTTCTTTAAGTCTATAGTTTTATAAGAGGCTTCTATGTAATTCTTTTTACTTAAAACCAATGTGGGACAAGAAAAATGAATTTTATTAGGTAATTTGTTATTTGTATTAAACTCTTTAAATTAATTTTTATAAATTTTATTAGGTAATTTGTAATTTGAATTAAACTCTTTAAATTTTTAGGTAATTTTTTGCTTATAAAAACTCTTTTTTTATATTAATAAATAAATACTGAAGCCAAAAGGCTGAGAAAGTAGTACTGCACTTGATCTTAGCCAAAAGACCAAGAAAGGTTAGCCAAAAAGCCGTCCCAAAAAAATTTAGTACTACACTTGATCTTAGCCTTATTTCTTTAGGTCTATAATTTTATAAGAGGCTTTCATGTAATCTTTTTTACTTAAAACCAATGTGAGACAAGAAAAATGAATTTTAATAGGTAATTTGTAATTTGAATTAAACTCTTTAAATTAATTTTTATAAATTTTATTAGGTAGTTTGTAATTTAAATTAAACTCTTTAAATAATTTTTAGGTAATTTTTCATTTATAAAAACTTTTTTTTATATTAATAAATAAATATTGAAAGGCAAAAGGCCGAGAAAGTAGTACTACACTTGATCTTAGCTAAAAAATCAAGAAAGGTTAGCCAAAAGGCCGTCCCAAAAAAATTTAGTACTACACTTGATTTTAGCCAAAAGGCCGAGAAATGAGTAATTATTATTTCTTTAGATCTATAGTTTTATAAGAAGCTTCCATGTAATTATTTTTACTTAAAACCAATGTGCGACAAGAAAAATGAATTCTATTACGTAATTTGTAATTTGAGTTAAACTTTTTAAACTAATTTTTATAAATTTTAGGGTAAAGTGCAAAAAACTCCCTTCAACTATTTGCCATGTGCAATTAACCCCCATGATCTATTAATTTAACATATAAGCCCCTTGAACTAACCAATTTGGTGCAATTAACCCCGTCCGGTGATAAGCCGGTTGAATTTGGCCGTGAAGATGCACGTGATAGGTCACGTGACAACCCAAATTTCTTTAAATGACCATACAACCTTTTACCTTTACACCCAAAACCACTTAGAACACCCAAACACGCCCTTATGCTAAATACACACTGTTCATCGTCAATAAAAAAGATGATACCATCACCACCATCCGGTCCGTCCCCACAACTGCACCTTCGAGGCTGAAGATGGCCGGCGAAACAGATTTGGCTGTGAGGATGGAAATGACCAGCAAGATAGATCTGGGTCTTGGACTTGGACTTGCAGCGCGGCAAGCTTGAGGATGTTGATGGCAGTGAAAAGTCGGTGAGAACAGATCCGGCTATGGTGGATCGAGCTCGCGGCGGATCTGGCGGAGACAAGAAGAGAGTTGTGAGAATAAATTTGGCGGCTGTGTGATGAGCTCTTGGTCGGCGTGGATCCGGTGAAGGCCGGTCGTGTATATGGATGACTCTTGGCCGTGAGGTGCACAAGCTTGGAGATATAGATGGAGGTGGCGGCTGTTGTAGAGCCGATCTGGTGGCAGCAGATTTGGTTTGCCGTCTGCCAACAATTCTAATCTTTCTGTGAGCGCACTTCTGGCTCTTTGATCAGATCATTTGGAGGAATTCTTGTGTTTATACTGTTAATCTTGTTGTCCGCTGTAGCCCTTTCTCGACCTTGACGTGAGATGATCAGTCACCCACTCTTCCAATCATTCATGTTCATTAGTGCATCTGTGTATTTCTTTTTCACGTGTGTCTATTTCAGTTTGTTTGTAAGAGTGAATATCAGTGGCTCTTGTCACCCGTTTTGATTTGGATTTTGGAATGATATATTGGGAAATCTTCTGGAAAAAAGTATTTGTCTCTCAATATTCATCTTGTTCATAGAAATGTGTCGCCCACCGTCGCCGTCGACTGCAGCAGAATTAGGGTTCGCCGCTGCGTCACCGTCACCTTTCTTCTTCTCTTCTGGCGGCAACCAGATCCTCGGCTTATTCGACATCTTGAAGTTCAATCCAGTCGCAGAGCGCCATGGATTCACAAGGCACGAATTTACGAAATTTTTGGATGCCGTCGAGGCCGTTGTGGATCTATAGGAGGGTGCTGTTGGGAGGAACTGAACGAAAGAACATCACGTGAAGGTGAGGGTTGGATTTGGGTGGTCTGGAGGTCCAAGATGAAAAATGAACTGAATGCCGGTCTGAAGTTTTTTTTTTTTTTTTTTGAAACGACGTAGTTTAATGTAAGGGATAAAATTGTCTTTTACTATTTCCGTTTACACCAATTGGTCGGAGATGTCACATTAGGGGTTAATTGCACCAAATTCAATAGTTTAAGGGGGCAAATTGTAATTCAGGGGGGTTAATTGCACATGACAAATAGTTGAAGGGGTTTTTTTGCACTTTATTTTAAATTTTATTAGGCACTTTGTAATTTGAATTAAACTCTTTAAATAATTTTTAGGTAATTTTTTATTTATAAAAACTCTTTATTTATATTAATAATTAAATATAAACATGTTACAAAAGGAAAAAGAAGGGAGGTTTTCAATCGTATCTAAAAGTATGATTATTAACTGAACTAAAAAAAAAAAAACGTCGGATTTGACATAATAGTTTATTAGGTAGTAGTACTACACATGGACATATTTTCCTAAATTAATAATCCAATTCAACATTCTTTAATCCAATAAAAAAACAATACAGTACTAAACAAATTAAGAAACTATTCAAATGTATAGAACTAATTTACTTCTAAATCAAATATAAAATGGACCCCGCCAGAAAGATCCCTTCTCAAGTCAGTCAAATTGCCTATGAACCCTTTACGAAACTACCACACGAATATTTAAAAACAGGGATGATGTTACAAAAATTTGTACTTTCATAATACACCTATTTTATTAGGTAAGAATTTTTATTTTTTATTTTTTATTTTTATCAAGAGTTAAGAATCTTGTTGTTTCTTCATTTTTTTTGTTTTTTATTTGTTTTTTAAAAAATAAGTGTCTATGTTACTCGAGTGATTTTGGATTTCTCTTTTTTGCACAAAGGCCGAGAAAGAAAAATAAATTTTATTAGATAATTTATAATTTGAATTAAATTTTTTAAATAATTTTTAGGTAATTTTTTGTTTATAAAAATTCTTTTTTTATATTAATAAATAAATACTGAAATATTAAAATACCAAAAGATCATGAAAGGTTAGCCAAAAGGCTGACCCAAAAAAATTTAGTATTACAATTAATCTTAACCAAAAGGCTGAGAAAAATGTGATTATTATTTTTTTAGGTCAATAGTTTTATAAGAGTTTTTCATATAATTCTTTTTACTTAAAATCAATATAGGACAAGAAAAATAAATTTTATTAGGTAATTTGTAATTTGAATTAAATTTTTTAAATAATTTTTAAGTAATTTTTTGTTTATAAAATTTTTTTTTTATATTAATAAATAAATACTGAAATATTAAAACACTAAAACTCTTTACATATTTAATAATAGTACATATATATGTTATTTAAATTATTAATAATAGTCAATAAAATAATAAATACTAAAAAAATATAAATACTAAAAAATATATATAAATTTTAATCAACCAAATTACTATTTAGTAATTTGTAGTTTACAAAAGATTAAATTAATAAAGAAATTAATAAAGAATTTACCAGAACGGCCGTCTCAATCCTGAGTCGTTAAATACTTAGCCGTACCTCTCTATTGCAGTTGGTTTCTCCTGTCTCTCTCTCTCTCTCGCTACATTCTTCGTTGTCTCTGCTTTTCAATCAGCCTTTAGATTCACAAAACCCTAGCCATCTTCTTTCCGCTATATTCATCATTTCCTAGCCATCTTCAATGTGAGCCTCTCTCTTTCTCTCTCTATCTCTATTTTTCTCTCTACATTTGTATCTGCTTTTCGATCAAAGATTTACAGAACCCTAATTTTAAATCTCATTGTATTATAATCGTATATGTTTTATGATTGCTTTATTACTGATTCTCTTTTTTTGCGATTCTTCTACATATATTAGCGCAATTATGAGCGACGACAAAGAAGAAAAGAGATGCCCTCTCTGTGCAGAAGAGATTGACGGGACGGATCAATTGAAGCCTTGTCAATGTGGTTACCAGGTTAGATTCTCTTCTCTGTACAAATTGGATACATGGGTGGAGCAGCAGCAGATTTTAATAATTTTCTTGATGGTTCAAAATTGGATACTATTTCTTGATTTCTAGAGTACTTAATCTACCTGATTTCCATCTATTTGTTAATTTAGTTGTTAAGCTCATATTCACATAACCCTAGCCATCTTCTTTCCATCTTCAATGTGAGCCTCTCTCTCTCTAGATTTATCTATATACACACATTTATAGAATACATGTTTTATGATTACTCTATTCTTGAAAAATTTTATACTGATTAACTTACATTTTCTTTTTATCACACTCTGATTCATTGTTTATCTATACCGGGTCTTTCATGGTTATATTGAAGGTTTAAATTTGTTTGGGTTATGTTAAAAACCAAAGTTTTTCTTGCTTTTGGCTTATATTTTATTTGATAAGTACTTTTAGCATATATCTGCAAATATTAAATGAGGTTGTTGTTCTTTTGCCTCAGAATGATTTTTTAATTTTTTGGAGGTGGTGCTTTGTTTTATTTTTATAGGTTGCTTAAGTTATATAGTTATTAATCTTTAGAATATTGATTATATGAAATGTGAATTATTTTACAGTAATTATAGTTTCAATTGTGTGCCTCGATTGCAGAAAATGGAAGAATGGCGAAGAATGGTTCCTCCTGGGGTAAGGTTCTCACCAACCCCAGCTGAATTACTGAACGAGTACCTCAGGCCGAGGGTAAACAATCAATCTGTTCCAAAAGGGGTAATCAGAGAACTGAATGTATATCAGTTCAATCCGATGGAGCTTAAAGCATTTGCCATTGATAATGGTGACAATCAGAATATGTACTTTTTCACGAATTTACAAAGAAAAACAAAGGATGGGGTCCAGATAAGGCGCGGAACAAACGACGGGTGCTGGAGAGCTTCCAACAAATACTTGAATATTTTTCTCGAAACGGTGCTTATAGGCTTTCGAAAAGACTTGACCTATACTTGGAAGTCTGGTGGACATGGACGTTGGCTAATGAAGGAGTATGTGTTAGAAAAATAGTCAGATCTGGCACTATGTGTAATATACGAAAGGCCAGAGCTGCAGAACAATAAAGATACATCTGCACCTGTGCAGCCACCACAGGTGGAGAGTGGTTTTGGTGAATGTGCCACATCCATTGATACTCGGCCACTGCAAATCCGTGATTCGGATGCAATCATTGAGGTAAGTGGTCAATCCTGTCCTTCAAAACATTAATTTCTACTTATTTGTGGTCAATCCTGTCCTTTAGAAAATTAATTTCTACATATTCTTACCTTGCAAATACAATACTGACGAACTAATGTTCTTTGGCAAACAGAGAGATTTGCAGTACTCTGCAGAGAAAGATCATGATAGAGAGGATCTCAGAGGAAATCTGGCAATTGAAATTGGGCGAAAAACATCTGCCTTGAATTCTTGTTTGAAAAATGTAAGTGAAGGAGATGGGACGCTGCCTTTGCCTCCAGAAGTACCCAGTCAATACCATGCTAATTCTAAAGGGACCCAAGTATATGCTGGCAGGGATTTTGGCTTCCCTCATGGGGAGAGGTATGAAATTTGGTTAGATGAAACTGTATGTACTTTATTGAGCATATTGTGGAAATTAGATTTTTAAAATGGCAGTCTGTTATTTTTGGGTGTGCTTGTGTGTGCATGTTACGGGTTATTATATATTGGTTCTAATTTTCAATTCATTATGAACGTTCTCATATTCAATTTTGTCTTGTTTAAACAGGTGGGAATCAGTTGAAAGGATTGATGGTATCAAATCTCGGAAGTTACATGATGTTAAGGAGGCAGTTATTCAAGATGGCCATTCTATGCGCATGGAGAACATTAAAAGACCTTTCGGCGAATATGATGAGCAGAGTGGCGAAACAGAAGGTAGTCAGAGGGGTCATCATAATAAATATATGGGATCACGGTACAGGGAATGGGATGATCATTTAAAGAGTCAATATGAGAACATTGACGGGCATAGAGGAAATAGCACTCATAGAAAGCGAGATAGAGATCATGTTATGAATGAGCAGAAGGGATACGAACAAACAAGAATAAAAGAAGACAATCATTATTCTTCCAAGCACAAAGAAGAGGGCTGGTTTCAGAGGAGTGAAAGTCTGAAGGAGCAGGATGAGTGGCATGTGTCACATGACGAAACCTTGTTAAAGCGAGAAAGAGTAGCACGATGGGGAGGAATGAGGAGTAGACAAGCTGTAGAGGATAAAGCATGGATTACCCGAGAGAAGGATGGTTATAAAGGTTCTGCCAAAGATTACCAATTGAAAGACACAGGGCGGCAGAGTGAGACTGGTAATGATCGTTCGTTCGATGATTCTAATGGTCATGGGGCACACGATAAGACATCTAAAGACAATGCAAGGAAGAGCAAAGAATCTAAGGGTAGAGCTCACAATCCGTCGGGTTACTGCAAGAGAAACCAAGAGGACATTGGTGGTCAGATAAACGAGAAGGTATGCCACATCACTTAACATAATAAGATTGTTATATATTAACAAGTAACCTTTTGACACATTTCAAGCAATTTTTCTGTGTGCCTTTGATTTAGGGTTCAGGGGGGTCCAACACCTATACACCCACCCCCCACACCTAATACGGGATCCCTAAGTCCGTGTAACATAGATGTAGACCACGTTCCACCATCCCCGTACTAAAACGATCTGACTTCCGTGTAACAATAGGTAGTTGCTTTGTGCAAACAGCATACATTCAAGCTGCACTACCCCCCTAATTCCTTTGATTTCCTTAAAGAAGTTACATTTCCCCTAATTGTTTTCCCTTCATAGTTCTCTCATTTTTCTTTTTTAAAATTTATTTTTCTTCTTTTTATTTTACACTTATTGTGTATGATTTATGTACTTTAACCTCTTTTTTTCTTCTTCTTATTTAAAGTTATTACTGTAATTTCATGAATCAATGTGTCTTTTATGTTTTTGAAATTTTTCTTTACTGTAATTTTGTACGAATAATTACATACTATTTGAACGTTGATTAATGCATCATTACTGGAAGAGGAATTTCTCATTTATGGAGAAACTGAAGAATGTAGAATACAAGTGATGCCTAAACTATGTCTTGGTAGCTCACTTTACGTTTCCTATTTTCCATTATGTCTGTGTTTGGAGGGTTGAAGGGGGATATGTAAACTTATTTTCGGATTCGGATAGGCACAGGCTTTGCCTCTGCCTTTACCAAATAGATGGGTTTTGTTTAGCTAGATCTGTTGGTGGTTTTAGGTTCATTCGGTTCAAGCTCAAATGAGCTGCTCTGCAAACCAACAAAGCCCTAAAAGTCATTACATATGCCTTGAAAAACATAAATGCTATATGGTATCATTGTTCAGCCTGCCTAGCTCATCTTCAGCTTGCTAAGCATCACATTGCATTTTGGCATAGCTTGGCCTGTACGCAGTCATGATTTGCACTCAACAGAACTATGACTGGTTGTTAACTGCTATGATCCAATTGGTGGATCTTGGGTCAGGGATGGACCCATGTAGTAGTCTGTGGGGGCGGCCGCCCCCACTGACATTCTCTTTATTTGTATTATGCACCTAAAATTTTGCTAAAATTCTAATAATATTCCTACTAAATTTTTGATAAAACACCTTATACATACTGGTCATCCCCACTATTTTTCTTTATTTATATAACATACCTAAAATTTTCCTATCATGTCAGCTTGATAATAATTGAAATGAAGTATTTTCCTAAAAAAAAACTAATTGAAATGGAAGTATGAGCAAGTTTTAATTAAAATATCAAAGTTTTTTTGTTTACTCCCTCCGTCCCAAAATAAGTGTCAATCTTTTCTTTTTGGGCTCTCCCAAAATACTTGTCCCGCTTTAAACAAGGTATTTGACATCTTTCCATGAATGCCCTTGAAGTTTTACAAAATTTCAAACTTGATTATATATTCAAATTTGAAAGGGTAACTTAGTAATTTTAAAAGGAGGCAATGCAATAATTGCATGTCCACTTAAAAACTTCTACTCCCCAAAATGGACACTTATTTTGGGACGGAGTATGGTAGTTTGAATTATTTTATTGTGTTCAAGGCTGCCCGCTCTCAAATTTTGTGTGTGTCGGTCCATCACTGTCCTGGGTAAGGCAGATCCAGGTCGATTGTTTTCCATTGTTCGTCCTTTGAATTGATTGTTAGGTGGATCCCTCATACATTTCCTTCACTAGGTGGATCCATGATAGTTTTTCTTCAGAAGTTTTCTTCTCTACAAGGGCATGGAGGAATATATATATATATATATATATATATATAAAGAGAAAAAAAAAGCTAATTTCTTCAAATAGCATATTTCTTCGCTAATTGGACATCGATGTGACACCTCATGCCACATGAATCATGAATTGTTGTCGTACCAAAACTGGGGATGGATTGGAAATATGTTTCCACAATTTACATGCTTTCCGTTCTTTTTCTGTCAATGGATGAGTTTTAGTGGATTTGTTCTATTTTATCTTCTAGGCAGATCCATTATATTTTTTCTCCAGCAGTTTTTTTTTTTTTCTTCTCTTCGTGGATATGGTGGGATTATCTGATCTCTTTTCTAGTTCATTTATAAATGGCAGAATTCTCCACTTAGATGACATGCTACATTTATATTGTATTCGTTTTGCCACAATTTACATGCTTTAATTTGTTGTACTTGTATTTATTTTCACTCAATTCTTGTTGAGCTAGTTCAGCATGAAATTTCCTTGTGTTTGTTTGGGGTGAGTACATTTGTTGGATCACATGATTATCCGAATGAAGTTATTAAAGATGTAATACTATGAAGTTATATAGCCTCAAGAACAATAATACTTTGATTTGTTGTGAACTTGTGATACTTGTTGCCAGCACCAAGACGTATTAACCAATATGTGGAAGACATGGCATGAGAAAAGAATATTTTTTTATGATGTGTTATATCATTTCTAACCAATGACAATATGTTATTTTAAAAGAAAAAATAGTAGAAAGAAAAGAAAAAGAAAAAAACCTAGAATAGGATTTCTTGAGAAAAATAAAAAATAAAAAAATTTGGTCCTTGAAATACTATCTAACTTGTTGAATGACCAACTGATGAAAGAGAGAGGTTTGACAGTCAAGTAAAGATAATTTTTAATTACATTAGTAACATAGACCTTTACTATAACTTTGTGCAGTTGTGTGATAAACCAATCTAATAGGCATCCTTTGTCATATTGTGTACAGTGATCTTTATGTCCTTTCCACTCAATCGTTTAGGGTTCAAGTTATTTTATTTTGTCATATAATGTTATTTTTGTAATCATCGATGGCAATGATTCTTGAGTCTTGTTTAATTGCTAGCGTGTTAGATGATGATTCTTTTTTTTTTTCCCTAGTAATTAGATGATGAAATTTTAATTGATATTTCACCTGTAATAGTTTGCCTCCATTCTAATGATTTCTCTTTTGGAAATGAAAACAGCGAGGTTCTGAATCGCAGGGAAAATATTCTATGCGCTGTGACGATGTTAGTCAGAGGGGTCATCATAATAAATATATGGGATCACGGTACAGGGAATGGGATGATCATTTAAGGAGTCAATATGAGAACATTGATGGCATAGAGAAAATAGCACTCATAGAAAGCGAGATAGAGATGATATTATGAATGAGCAGAAGGGATATGAGCAAACGAGAATAAAAGAAGACAATCATTATTCTTCCAAGCACAAAGAAGAGGGCTGGTTTCAGAGGAGTGAAAGTCTGAAGGAGCAGGGTGAGTGGCATATGTCACACGATGACAGCTTGTTAAAGCGAGAAAGAGTAGCACGATGGGGAGGAATGAGGAGTAGACAAGCTGTAGAGGATAAAGCATGGATTACCCATGCCAGAGAGAAGGATGGTTATAAAGGTTCTGCCAAAGATTACCAATTGAAAGACACAGGGCGGCAGAGTGAGCAAGTCAAGAGAGGGGACCGAGTTGAAGATGAAAGTTCACTGCGTAGGGGACGCGAAAATGATTATCCTAGTGCTCACAATCCGTCGGGTTACTGCAAGAGAAACCAAGAGGACATTGGTGGTCAGATAAACGAGAAGGTATGCCACATCACTTAACATAATAAGATTGTTATATATTAACAAGTAACCTTTTGACACATTTCAAGCAATATTTCGGTGTGCCTTTGATTTAGGGTTCAGGGGGGTCCAACACCTATACACCCACCCCCACACCTAATACGGGATCCCTAAGTCCGTGTAAGATAGACGTAGACCACGTTCCACCATCCCCGTACTAGAACAATCTGACTTCCGTGTAACAATAGGTAGTTGCTTTGTGCAAACAGCATATGGTTCTTAGGGAGTGTTCTGGTCTGTTGTTTATCTTGCTTTGTTGCAATACGGCCTGTTTCTGACATGTATGTCTTACATTTTGCAGTGAATGGGAGATTCTATTCCACTGCATGTAAGTTTCTTTATTTATTTATTTTGATTTTCTTTTTAAGTTCTGGCAAAGGAAGGCATTTTAGAGAAATATAACTAAGCTTTTGATTTTATGCAGATCATGATTGGATAGCATGCAAAGTGGGCTGACAAGTGGCGTCATATATTTTTTGATAGCTTGAAGTCATTTCCAACTGTTAACATTGCCCCACAAGAGAGGGAGATAAAAGGGTATATCCCCTTGTAAAAATAACAATACATTTGATGTTTTCAGCTATCATCCTCTCTCTCTCTCTAAATTGGAATGGTACAGGAATTTTAATGTGGAACAGGTATGGGTCCGAAATAGTTCTTTCTGGAAAATTAACATTAGGTGTTGATGTTCTATTGTGTTCTTTTGGTTGTAAATGAATACTAGTAGGGTTTTTTGTGAAGAAAAGATAGTATCCCCTTGTAAAAATAACTCTCTCTCCCCCTCTAAATTGCAATGGTATAGGAATTTTAATGTGGGACAGGTATGGGTCCGAAATAGTTCTTCTGTAAAATAAACATTAGTTGTTGATGTATTCTTTTGGTTGCTAAATGAAAACTTTTAGGTTTTTTTTGTCAAAAAACCCACACACCCATCGTGGATTCAATTCTTCGACTTTGTACTTGAAAACTTTTTAGTTTTTTTTGTCAAGAAATTCACACACCCATTGTGGATTCAAATCTTCGACTTTCCCTTCATTGAAAGGATGAAGGCTTGAGTCCAGTAGGCCTGAATAGAGCACATGATAGATTTGATCAACACTATATTGTTCACCTGTTATGAATTACAATGACCTCTAATTGTTTAAAATATGAATTTTAATTTTTATTTAAAATTAGAATTTATATCTAATATCTAAGAATTTCCGTGTCACCGCAATTAGGAATAGAGAATCTATATCAAAGAACGGCTACTTTGGAAGGTTTGGAAGAATCACTAGCCTACAACCCTTGGTAAGAAAAACTTTTAGGTCTACCCAGTGGTATAGCTACTGGTTTTGAAGTTAGGATATTGAAACCTCGCTCTGTTTGGAACCAAATCCTTTGGGATTTGAAATTGGAATTAGAAAAGAAATTGGATTGTAATTAAAATAGGATTCTTATTTGATGTTTGGAATTTACTGGAATTTGAAATAAATTCGTTTTTATCACTTTGGGATAAAGAGATGGTGCAAGTACAAAGGTGGGTTGGTAGTTAATTGAGGTATACTTTTGGTATTACACACCAAATCCTTTCAAATCTTACCATTTTTCCCCGGATTTCTCTACTACGTGATAGCACTGGTAAAGGACGGGAAGAGACTATGCAATGGTTGGTAGTTAGTTCGGGGAGTGGGGAATCGAATCTAGGATTAACAATGTGGGGACACTTTAGGTTGACCCTTTACCACTATGGCAATACCGCCACACATATGTTAGTTATGCGAGAAAAAAAAAAAAAAAAAAAAAATTTTGGTGCTGGTAAATAAGTAGTAGTGAGATCAATAGGATGTTGTTTGGTACTCTTTTTTGGATGTTTTGTCCAGTGATAGCTGTTTGAGTTTCAGTTAAACGCCAAATGGTGTGGTAGTTCTTTAGCGTCAAAGTCAGAAAGCACACCAAATTGTGGAGGATGTCAATTCTTCAGATAATGAGCATATGCTGCATTGCCGCTAGGTCCTTCCAACAGCCTGAACATTATGTTATTTGAATGCTAAATCTGAATCCTGATAAGAATATTACAGCTGGAAGAGCTCCCTCTCTCTTGTTCAGTATAAATCAGAGAAGTGATTATGGAGGATTTACTGGAAGAATCAACAGAAAAATCTTCCCCCGTCTATCTCTTTCATTTTCTATTTTCTATTTTCTTCCATTCTCATCATTTCTTTTCTTATATATATTAGGAAAATGGTATGTTGCATTGTACATTAGTAAAATCTAATTTTAAAAAATCTTCCCCTATTGACACTATCTATCTATTTTTATTGTTTATTTTTTATTTTTTTTAACACCTGTTTTGTCGCCTCCCATTCTCATCATTTCTTCTCTTGTATATATACTAGGAAAACGGTATGTGTTGTGAGTGAGTAAAATATAATTTAAAATTAATATTCAATAAAGTAATCTCAAATGGTAATTAAAATAGATTTTTTAAAATGATGATATATTAATTAAGATACACAGATTACAAGATTAAATAATGATAACAATTTACAAAATCTTTACAATAATAAATTAAAAAATTATTCTATAAAATATAATTAACAAAACTCTAAAATAATCAGTAAACAGAAAATTGACACAAGGTAAAAGCGATATTAATAATAATTATTAATTAAATATTTTAATAAGAATTTATTTATTGATAGGTGTATTTTTAAGAGAAAATTACACATAGATAGAGTTATGAGTCCTGGTTATTTACTATCATCCAATTGATATTCTCAATGTATTATAGGTTTTGAGGTAGTGCCATTACAAATTTTTTTACCTTAATTTTATGACAATATTACCTATATCACTCCTTATATGTACCTTATGTGACAATGTTACAGTTCTCCAAGTGTTTATGTTTTTGTGTTTTTATTATATTTTCTAATACCCATTTGGAAGCCTTATGTTGCTCAGTAACCAAATTCTTCTAATTGGGACTCCATTTGCATGTTCGAGTTGATATTGGATGTGCCTGGCACGTAATATCATTGGTATATACCCATCAAGTGATAATGCAAAATGCATTGACCCCCTTATTTATAAAATTGATGACAACAATATGATATGTTATATTTGATTGAATGGATATACTAATGACATGACATGCACGACATATCCAATATCTTCTTGAAAAGAAATTACTCATTGTAACAGTTAAAACGGTGACGTGGTGCAACATACGACTACAAACACTCTACCAAAATAAAATGGACCTACAATAAAATCAAAAAACATGTGCTGATGGCCATTCTGAAGAGATTTAAAATTTTTTTTGGTGTAGGTGGGACAGGAAGATTGCATATGTTCGGGGCCGGCTTTGAGATTTTCAAAGTTTTGAGAGGCCTTAGGCAAATTTTTAAATTTGAGACCCTATATACATAACGTTTCACACGAGAAAAAAGTTATATGAGTGTGAAATTTACATTAAAATCAGAAGATAAGCACATAAAATATATTAAGGTTGAAAACATACAAAACAAAAATTGGTCCCGGTAAAAGCACAATCCAATTTATATTAAAATTTTTTAAAAATACTCAACACAACTTAGCCAAAAAAATCAAAATTCAACTTCATATTAAAATAAATGTAACCGTCTTACATTTTGAGATATAAAATTATAAATTAAAATATTCCAATCACTGTGATAATTTTATTGTTTGAACTAGGCTGAATTAAAATTTTGACTGTTGGTTGCATTTATGAGTTAAAAATTTAGTTGTTTGAACTAGGTTTAACTATCATGCATCCACCGGAGTCCAAAACTAATATAATTAAATAATAAATCAATTTCTCGTTGAAGGAAAGGGATAGAAACAAATTATTTTTACCATACAAATTATTGTATTACATATATAAATTTATATTATAAGTATGTGTTTATTGTCATATATATATATATATATATATATATATATATATATATATATTTTGATAGTTATTTATTGCAATAAATTTAGATGATATATGATTGTGTATTTGTCTTTTAATTATGAAAATTGTGTTTGATTAAAAGTTTACGTTTAATTATGGGAAATAATGATATTTCAGACATATAATACTATATTATATTATGGTACTAAATTTAGATGATATATGATTGTATATTTGTCTTTTAATTATGAAAATTGTAGTTGATTAAAAAGTTATGTTTAATTATGAAAAATAATAATATTTCAGATATATAATACTATATTATATTATGGTACTAAGTTTGAGACCACTTGAAATTGGAGACTCTAAGTGACCGGTTGATTGCTTTGCCCCATAACCGGCCCTCCATGTGTTAGAGACCGATTAAGAGTGTTATAAGTGGGTCAACACCACCATAGTAATAAGTTGACTCACCGGCACGTTAGTTTAATCATGGCCCATTCACATTTTTATACAGTAGTCTCAGTATCATTCTGGTCTAAGTGTTTTTTATTCATTTCATGTTTTTTTTTCTTGGATGACTGGATGTGAATTGCCCAACAATGCTAACAATAATAAATTGACATTTTCAAGCAATCAAGATCCTTAATACGGAGTATAATTTTTTTTAAGTATCATAAAATAAAGTTTGTCCAGATCTTACTCAAAATCTGAAACGACCATTTAATTACTCCAAAAGAGTAATGTTACGATGAGAAATGGTCTTTAGTGAGCTCACCCCTTACTACCTATCATTGAGCGACTCGACATCAAAAGTCACACAATCAAACAATGACGAGAGCGCGAGTTCAGTAAGAACGGTTTCACACAGCATCAATAATTGCCCCTTCCAACGTTCTCACCACAAAATTCACAGAATAATAAAAGGGCATGAAAGCTACTCCGATCTCCACCAAATAGTGGTGCCATCTCAACTGATCTGACGGCCAGCATCGAATCAGACCAACTACCCCGCGAAGCCACTGATGGTACTGATTTTTGGATGGCACGACCGTAATTAAATCAACATTATTCAACGAGGAACATGAATTGCATGGACGAAATTGTTGGCGACACTATGTCACTGTAGCCTGTTTTACTCTCGCAGTCGCAGCTCTGGAGTTTTAGAAGTCGGCTTCATGCTGCAGCCACTGCTCGAACCAGGTTAGCAGCGTTAGCTTCATTGCTCTCTCTATATACCCATATAAACAATTTTCTTTCATTTTTGCTCTCTGTATATACCCATATAAACAGTTTTCTTTTATATACCCATGTTAATTAGTTGTGATTTTTAATTCTAGATTTCAATATAATTTTGAGTATATCAACCAATTTTTGTTACTTGGGCTTGATTTGTGTTGTATGCTCACGAATTAGCAAGCAAAAACGAATCGAGATATGTGCATATACAAGCTTTAGTGTATTGGATCCTGGCAAATTTATATATATATATTATAAATAATTATTTAAGGATCGAATTAGGTAAAAACGAATGTGTGTGGTTGCCTTACTATATGATTTCATCGTGACTGATGTAACCTACCATTCCAATTTGGTAACCGCCGAATTCGGTCCCTAAATCACTACCTACGTAGTGTGTGTTTGCCCTTGGTGAATGAGAGCCTGTAAATATAAAGTACACAATTGAAACGTTTTACCTCAAAATGATGTCTGGGTATGTACTCAAAGAAAACCTGGAGATGAATTTAATGTAATTGACTAATTGGAGGAATTTGGTTATTGTTCAAATAGTTCTGGAATTGTTGAATAATTTGGAATGTCTTCGATTATTTGAAGTAAATTTGGGTTTTATGTTCACTGGGTGAAAAATTAATTGGGACCATTGGATATGTAATCTGCAAAGTTTGTCTTAGCACTAACTATAGCAAAATCACCACCATTGCCCCAGGTAACAATAATGTAGAATTCAGTAAATATAAAGGCTGGAACTCTTGAAAGTAAGAGCTTCTTATGATTCTTTTGGTATACCTGTTATTAATCAAGCAACTTGACTTGGTTGATTTTTGGTAGGCATATTGCATTCAGCATGAAATACTTTTGTATTTGTGGGTTGTTCCAAAACTTATTTTATGCTGATAATTGCATCTTTTCCATATATTATAACTTAATATATTGATACTCAAAGCAAAAAAAAAAAGTGTCAATCTGGATTTTTATTCACCTTTTCTGCTGCGAGCACATTGCTTGTGATACTGTTGGTTTGTTGGTTTCTATTGCATTTTTCATGAGTTCATGGTCATTTATCCATACTAGGGGAAGTAATGGAGGATGCAACGTCAAAACCATCTCTTTCGTGGAGGGAAAAGATCTCGAATTTTAGGGGTAGGGTCTCGGAAGCATACATAAGCAAGCCAATCTCATATTGGATTCTTCTACTTCTAAGCAGTGCAGCAATTCTTGTGGCATTCCCTGCTTCTTCCCTCCTGTCTCGTGTATATTACTCCAATGGGGGCAAGAGCAAATGGATCATTTCGTGGGTGGCAGTTGTTGGGTGGCCGCTAACTGCTTTAATGTTAATTCCCACATACATCTTTACTAGAACCTTTCCAACACCTTTGAACTTCAAACTCTTTCTTTCCTATGTTGTGTTGGGTTTTCTAAGTGCTGCTGACAACCTTATGTATGCATATGCCTATGCCTACCTCCCAGCGTCAACGGCCTCTCTTTTGGCATCATCATCCCTCGTGTTTTCTGCACTTTTTGGATATCTTTTTGTGAAGAATAAAATTAATGCCTCAACAATAAATGCTGTTGTGATTATTACTGCTGCTATGGCAATCATTGGTCTGGATTCAAGTTCCGACAGATACGGAGATATTACCGACAGCCAATACATTTTGGGTTATATGTGGGATATCATTGGATCCGCTGTCCATGGGCTCATTTTTGCTCTTTCCGAGCTTGTTTTTGTGAAATTACTGGGAAGAAGATCCTTCCACGTTGTGCTGGAGCAACAAGTCATGGTTTCTTTCTCTGCTTTCATATTTACCACAATTGGGCTTATCGTAAATAATGATTTCCAAGGAATGAAAACTGAGGCCAAAAGTTTCGTGGGGGGTGAAAGTTCATATTGCTTAGTTCTCATCTGGGGAGCTATTACTTTTCAGTTGGGGGTTTTGGGAGCGACTGCTGTGCTTTATTTGGCTTCTACTGTCCTAGCTGGTGTTCTTAATGCAGTAAGGGTACCTCTCACAAGCATTGCAGCTGTTATATTGTTGCATGATCCCATGAGCGGTTTCAAGATCCTCTCTCTGATCATAACATTTTGGGGATTTGGTTCCTATATCTACGGAAATTACTCTTTAAGTAAGGATTCCACATAACCTGTTTGTGAGTGTTCAGTTATTATTCTATCTCCTCCATTAATGTGTATGCTGTCAATTGTTACTAGCTTGAAACTGTTTACTTATGTTGTAATGTCTAATTTATACAACAAGAATCGAATACTTACATTTGCACACACACTGACATTTTACTGCATGTTGCATTCATGTCTGGTTTAGAAACGGGCAAGATTTTATTTAATTGTAGCATTTGCTGGAGGACTAGATGATGCATTATATTTTGGATGATTCAAGATCGAATTTGAGATATTGCAATTAACAGTAATCTACAAGCACTCACATTGAAAAGAATTTGCAGTGTAACCAAGATGAAAGGGGCATCTCTTTACCCTAGGGGTGCTAATGAAGTTACAAAGGGGCATTTCTAAACACCTATGGAAAGTTACAAAGTGCTCGGGAGGTTTTTCTTGAAAGGGGCATCTCTTTACCCTAGGGGTGCTAAAGTGGCTTGGAAGGAAATTTGTTTACCAAAGGATGAGGGCGGTCTGGGTATCAAGGACTTGTGTACTTGGGATCATGCTGCCATTTCTAAACACCTATGGAATTAATTCTCTAATCGTTCTAACCATGATTCTTTATGGGCGAGATGGATGTATACTATCAATCCCTCGGGTAATATTTATTGGAGTAGGAGAAAGATTTTGAAGCAGAGAAGTAATGTTAGAATGAAAATTAAACACATTGTTGGAGATGGTAAAAAAACTTGGCTCTGGTTTGATTTTTGACATCCCATAGGGCCTTGTCTATGGGTTAAAGGTGAAGAGATTATTCATAACTCTGGCATTGATAGGGAAGCCTCAGTCCGTCACGTCATTAGGAATGAAATTTGGCACTGGCCTGATACCTTAGCTACTTAAGTACTGGAAATTCAAGCATGTAGTCCGAACTCCTTTGTTCCTTTCCCTTCCAGAGTTGATAGAATTGTTTCACCACCTACTAAAGGTAATTTCTTTGCCATGCGGGATGAGTTGAGACCTAGACAATGCAGGGTGAGGTGGAAGGAGATGGTTTGGTTTAAATATAATACTCCTAGGCATGTTATAATCTTGTGGTTGGTCATCAAGGGCAAGTTGTATACTCTGAACAGATTGGTTACTGTGGAAGTGATATCCACCACCAACTGTTTTTTGCAGGCTAAGCTCTGAAAAACATTGCTCTTTGTTATTATTATTATTTTTTTTGCTTGTTCATTCATTTTTAGAGTTTGGCATTTCCTTGGCTGTAAATGCAGTACTCGGTGGGTTTCTGATTCTTTATCTGATTTTATTCTTGGGGAAAGCAATGCTTTGAAGCGGAAATCAGTGAAGAATACCATAAGCAAACTAATGCTGGGAGCCACTACATATGTGGTTTGGAGGGAGAGTAATGAGAAGATGTACTCCAACAATTACAGGGTTGTGCTTTCAATCCGAAAAGAAATTACACTGAATTGGTGAAGCTGAGAATGTGATTTGCTAAGGGACTATTTAAGCCCCAAGAGAGTCTATGAAAGCAAAAGTAGCGGGATTTGGCGAGTTCCATTTTTAGAGATGGTTGATCTTTCTGCTATGTACTCTTCTGTGGTCAGTGGGTTCTGAGTGCTGGGGTGGCTACTTTGTTTGTTTGGGTGGTTGGCTTTGTTTGGCTCTGGTTGCTTTTGCCTTTGGCTAATTGGCTTGATGCCTTGTTTTTGGTGCCCTGTTGCTTAGTTTTGGTTACAGAGTTCATAGCTTTTTTTGGATTCTCCTCTGTTTTTTAAGTGTAGAAAACTGCTTTTGATTATTTATTTTTTTTCATAACTTTTTCATATAGTGTTGCGTCATGAAAAAATTGTAGTCCAAGATCCCATGGCATTAGGTACACCACCACCACTAATAGGACGAAGAAATTCTTGGAAAATAACTTCCATTCCATGCAAGTGTTTGTCTCCTTTCGATAAACCAAACCGGTGATCCACCACCACCAGGTATTCATCATGAGCAGGTAATTGCCCTAGGACGCTAAACCGGTGATCCACCACCACCAGGACAAACAAGTCAAAAAGACACAGGATTTGTACACAGGATTTATTTTATGAACCATGTAGGACAAAGGAGTCATGTAAACCTGATTTGTTACAACCAAACCAAAAGATGGTAAAAGTTTAGTTGAGCTAATTTAAGTTGATATAAAATTCAACTCAACAAAGCATTTTTTTTTCCCCAACTACATGGAGTCCTTGATATAAAATAGATAATTACAGTCCTGCTTTAAAAGCATGGTGCCTTTAAAGGGGATCAGCATTGCTCGTCTCTTCATTTCATTCTCCCTCTCGCATCATACAGCGAGTCTTAGTTACATAACTAAACGGACATATTAATAGAAGTTTGTTGCACGCCCATAGCCCATAGCATTAGCACTGCCATGGCCAAATATCTAATTTCTAGGACCAATGTCCTTGAGAGCGTTGATCTGCTCTTCTCCCATTGCAGACATGACAGACACCACGAGGTCTTTTCCTTCAGCAAACCCATCTTTAATCTACATACAATATAATTTGAAACGGAAGTTCAGCGCAAGTAGGGGGGAAAAAAAAACGAAATGAAACAAGGACAAAGACAAAATTAACACATTCAAAGCAAAACAAAGTCGGAGGAGAATTAAGCTGTTTCTCTATGATTTACCTGCGTAAGCAGATTGTCATCGGTGGGAAGCCTCAGGTCATCCTTGGTGTTTCCATTTTCAGTTAACAGACTCACCTATAAGAGATGCAAATCCAATTGATTAAGATCACAAGATTTGATAAACCTGAATTCAGCATAGTAACCACCAAATTTAACTAATCTATGTATGGAGAGAATGATGCAGTATGGTTCAGTCGGATACTGGGATCTACGCAGGTATGGGTGAATGAAACGGGAACCCCCAAATCAGACGACACACAGAAGAACCCATTCAACGAAAGCATCAAATCCTACGTGACCTTTCACATTCTTACAACATTTCCTTTTTCTTTGTCTTGGGGCAGGGGGAAGGTTAAGAGATAATAACATTGCCATGCAGCTATATTTGAAAGTTAAATAGTAAAAGATGACTCTTACAAAGCCGTCTTCAGAGATATCTATCAGCTGATAGTCAGTACGATTAACATGGGGAACCTGTAAAAACACAAATGCATAATTATTTGATCAACAAGTCAATCAATTTTAGTAATTTTTCTTTATTAATCAAATTAAGTGATCAGCTGGAGAACCAGGGATGGAATTCCCAGGTCATGCAAGGAGAATTCCACATTAAGACTAAAAATAGAAGGAACAAAAGAAAATAGTTTAAAAAAGAAACGGGAACAGACTTACATCACAGTTGTGAGATGAAGGAACAATATCCTCAAGCTTCTTTCCATTGAAAATATCAATTCCCACAAAGTGGCACTTTGCATGCCCATGCTTGCCTGTTTTTGAGGTAGACACCTCCACAACCTGTTTGGAGCAGTCACCAAACAAACAGTTGATATAATGGAGATCAAAATCTTGTACCTTTTCTAGAAGCAGTAATGAAAGGAAACTGTATGTTCTAGGCAAAAGAACAGACTATACTAAAAATGACAGAATGGCCAACCCTTTTGAGTAGTCAAGCGGCAATACAAGTAAGGGCGCGTATAACCGAAATCTGGCATCCATCATAGGAAGGAATGGCCACAAAAATAATATTCTTCACCAACGAATACCCAATATAAGCTTGATAAGTTTGTAATCTTACGACTCCCAACCGTTTTCTTGTGTGAAATTTTGTGCAAATTATTTCAAAGGAGACAAGGAGATAATATCTTATGGACAAATGTTACAGAAGAAAATTTAATTAAGAACAAAGGAGCCCAGATATTCTCCAGTCCTATGAAAAGTGAACACCATACTCTGAAATATTTCTAAAGCATAGAATTCAAGATAAAAATAAATAAATAAATAAATAAATAATCCATATTTCTCATGAATGAAAATAGAAATGAAGATACCTGCCAAAAAGATGATATGGACAAAGGAACCTGTGCTTTATTCACCAGGACTTTATAGACATTTAAATCCATTTTCGTTGGAGGCAGATGCATTTTCATATTAAGTGATCACCAATTGAAGTGAAAAAGAAGGGGAAAAAAAGGTAACACACTTTTCTCATCTAACATTACTCTCTGGATCAGTGGTCGAACTGTTTCATTCAAAATGATTTTGAAGGGTAACACATCAATAGTACATCCCGGTGCTTGAATGAAGCCATGAATGGTCAACAGTTGCCAAGGGTGGCATTTATTGCTTAAGCTCTTGCTTGAGCAAAGTTGTTGCTGGTCCTAAAAGTATACATCCAAGTGACGCTCTACAACTGAAGATTCGGTTTAGACAACATCAGGCTTAAAGAAGTTAATATGATTTTCACTGCCTCAGGAAATTCTAAATCAAAATAGGTCAAACAAGTTGTGACACTTTTTATACGTTTGTCAATTTTAGGTACTTCCTCTCTGTCAATTTTATTTTTATTATTTAGCTGATGTAGGACTGCAAGTGTTTCATTCCTGCAAAATAATAAAATCATGTCGGACAAAGACATGGAGGCGTACAAGTACCTGTCGTACTTCGGCTAAATAATTAAAATGAAACTCAAAAGTTATCCAAAATTTATACAACCAAAGAATAAACAAAATTTGAAAAAGTTAACTGAAGAAGAACCTATAATTTGAAGGTATCCGCAAACCTCAAAATTTGAACTTTTTTCTCTGAAAGCATGAAAGCGGTAAGTGGCAAAGTGCACTAATTAGTAATGTCATTAAGTAGAGAAAAATGCACTAGTTTCACCCACCAAATGGCAATATCTTAATTAATTTAATTTACAATTAATAATACAATTCGGTAGCCAATAGAATGAAAAATCACTAGTTCTGCTATTAAAATCAGCCACTATTCTATTATATTGATGGGTTTATCTGCCTGGTAGTAAAAGCAGAACTGATCAGTGATCACTCATCAGAATAGAATCTTCTGAGATGAATCAATTTCAGGAACTAACTATGTCACTAACTACAGCAATACGAATGAGCAACTACTTCAAGCTAAATGGTTCAAAGCCAAAAGAATGTCAGGGCAAGTGTTAAGAGAATGACTTTTTGGCTTCTTTTTCATAGAATATATGGCTTTTGAGAGATAGGAATGACCTATAAGAGGAGGGGGAAGAAAAAGAAAGATAAAAAAAAGATATCTAGTAGCACAACCTCACAGCTAGTATATGTTTGAGTTATCTTGCATTCTGCTAATATTCAAATGAAACCACACAAAATGATCAGTTATCTTGCATACTGATAATATTTAAATGAAACCCCATAAAATGAGATGTAAAACGTCACAATCTTCATCATGTGAAGCTCACAGCCTATGGGGTTACTCTCAAAAATAAAATTGGTCTCCACATGTTACATGAACTAGAGTACGTGTGTTGAGTGTAAGTATGCATCTAGGCATCGGCTTTATCAAATACTTAAATCCAATTACATGAGAATAAAGATAAAGTTTTCTTCTAATATTCTTCTTTTATTTCCCTATGACAATATAGTTTTTTAGGGAAAGGAAAAAAAAAAATCAATATAGTGTTTTATTTAAGATAGAGCTTTCAACATGGACACATAACTTTTTCTAAAGCAATAATTTAATTAAATTAAAAGGTGAATGATACAGGAGTCTCAATATGCAATTATACAGTACACTTGAATTATTATGTTTAAACATATATGTCTGAAACATCTCATACCCATAATCGGGTGTTGTTTGTAGCTGGCTTTATCCAATCCAATGAGATTTTCTTGCCTCAACAAGTCAAACCTCACAGGTCTATTAAACATTTTTATAGATAATAAACACATGACACATACATGTTTGACTATTACAGTATTGATGCACAAAATCCCAACAAAAGGAGATTAAGCTTCAGAAGGTGAACCCTGCATTAGAAATCTCTTAACAAGCATAAAAATCAAAATGATTCAGACAGCCAACAGTGATATTCCTAGAAACACCTACTTATCAATACATAAATTTCCATCTAAACCCATTGCATCTACACAAAGTCAACATACACACTCAGTTAAAAGAAGTAAAATTATCTCACACACACCACAAAAAATTGAATAGAAAACAATAAATAGCATGTGTAGCTTCAATTCTCACAAAAAGCACAAATTATCACAAGAATCAAATTACCCATCAAAGATCTAACAAAAATAAAGGAACCCAGATAAGATTTCAAAATCAAACACGCAAACAAACGATCAGATTGAAGAAAAATACGAATTTAGACCTTGCATGGCCTGTTCTTGATGACTATGTATCCGTTCTTGCGGATCGTCCCAGCCTGCTGTGGGTAGGTCTTGGAGGCCCCTGCATCGCCCTTCGCCTCGAACTGATGTTCTTCGTCCGACATCTCTCTCAATCTCTCTCTAAGACGGTGACGGTTGAGGAAGGAAGACTTCTGATGAGGAGGAAGACAACAGCTTTTTATCGGAGTTTTGATTCACTCCGTCACGAACCCTTATAATGATTACTATTAGATATTCTGGACAGATGTTGAGAGATGGAATTATAGCCGTCTGATCAAGAATTCTGAAAGAGGAATTATTATGAGCAGGTCGTGCATGTCTGTCATCTTGAAGATTTATAAGGACCAATAGTCATTAAACACGTGTCCTAGTGGAAGAATGTATCATAGTTCTTCGGTTCTTCTGCTGCATTGCAGCTTAGGTGGCAATTTAGGATAGGAAGTTCACAGGATTTTACTACTAAGATTGCTAATTTTATCAGGGATCAATTTAACGGGGTGTGTTTTCCAAGGAGAGAATTAGATGCTTGTGAGTCTGTGACCAAAAGAAGATGGTCCATACCCCTCAATTGGAATATGTTATATTTATAGAATACCACCTTGTTCCTCCCAATCAACGGGTGTCATTTAATGGAATTTTTTTTTTCTTTTTTTGGCTAGGAAAATAGTTATCAAGTTTTTGAATTCTTCTTCTTAACTAGTAGTTGAATTGAGAGATTTATTAACTTTTTTATTTAATAAGTCAATAGTTGATGGTTGATTAGTGTCTTGTCTCAATTCCATTATAAATAAAGATAAGTTATGATTCTCGACACGAGAGGACCTTTTTTTTTTTTTTTTTTTTATAAACTTATAACGGATTAGTACTTTGAAAAGGATAAAGTTATCAAGAGTACCAAAATGTACATAGCATTATTATTTGGGTGGAAGAGGTATTAGGCCGACCTTTGACCGGTTAAAAAATAATTGTAAATTATATTGACACCTTTTAATGTTTGGCATTTTATGTGGTTTCAAATATTATATTTGTCCTTAATTATTTAATTTAATTAATTTACAAAATAATTGACGAAAGTACTCTCATCATTAAACCTCTTTTTCTACCCTAATCTCTAAGTCACTTTTTTTTTTTTTTTTTTAATTCATTTTAGTATCTAATCGCTGACACTCCCTCCATATTATTTCAGAGGTCTGGAGGGGTGTCAATGCACATTTTTTAAATCTTAATTGTTGTCAACGTAAAAAAAATGTATCGATCGACCACTGAGTTGCGTTGACCAAAACTTAAAAGTATCAGTGCAATTTATCCAAAAATAAAAAAACATGATTGTTTGAGTTTAAATTATTTACCTATAGTGTTAAGCAACGATGTAAAATGTTAATATTGTCATTATATAATATGAGTATTATACATCATATATCAACTAAAATTTATAAAAGCACATAATTGTTCAAATGCATGCCATGTCATATGAATACTAGCTAGGACTCAAAATAATTAGGACAAATTTCGAAAAATATAAGTCCTTTATTTTCCCAAACAATGACACATACATTTTCAACATAAAGATTTTTAAAGCATATAATATCACTTTTAGTTATTATATTAATGGCCATGTGACAGTGGTTTAATTTTTTCTTTTAGATCAGGAGACTCATGTATCAAAACGATAAATACAGAGATAAAGTGCAACAAATTGAATGGAGTATATAGACTACCAGAATTTGGGTTGTTATGATGAGTTGGGCCAAGTTCTTGCCCCTTCTTCCTAAATATTTAAAATATATGTATTATTCTTACATTAATTTTTTGATTAAAAGTGTTCTATTTTTTTTTTTTTTTTTTTTTAAATAAGTCACTTTACAACTTACTCAATAATATTAATTATATATATATAGAAAAAAGAGTTTTAAGTAAGAATTTTAATTAATAGTTAGTCATTTATTTTCATAAGCACGAGGAGAGAGAACGGAGAAGAGAAAAATGGGGAAAGAGATGTGAGAAGAGAGAGAAAAAAAGGGTGAAGAGAAGAGAAATATATATATATATATATATATATATATATATATATTAGGAAAGGGAGAAAATGCATAGAGAAAAGAAAATTTTGTTCGAGTGGGTTAAGATGGGTACCTACTCTTAATTCACCATTGACCTTTGAATTGAATTAGTACCTACATTTATTCATTATTGACTCGCTCACTTAAATTTGAGTGTCCAAATGATTTAATTTTAGTGAGTGGACTTGAATGGTTTAATGACTTTGGACTTAAATTGTCATTCCTAATTTTAAGCAAAACATTGATACGCTTTAATCGGTGTCTCACAAAGAAGTAAACCCTGCCATCATCGGAACCAAGATTTGAATTCAGGGGGACATAGTGGGGATTTTTTTAATATATTTTTTATTTTTAAATAAGAATAAGAAGAACAAAAGGGAAAAGAAAAATAAATTTTGAAGAAAACAAATTAGAGTATGATTAAATAAGGGGAATTTAACTTTTTTTAAAAGGTAATTAAATAAATTTAAGGAGTTTAGAGAAAAAATAGAAAAAGTTTTTTAAAAAAATTGGAAACTAATAATTTTAGGGGCATAATATACAAATTTCTATATATATATATATATACATATATGTAAAAAATAAAATAAAAATCATATATATACATAAGGTGAGGCAAGGCCAGGGGGATGCCTATCACAACCATATTCCGGGTCTTTCAGTCATTAGATCATCCATCTGGTGAGTCCTACCACCACATACTAGTAAGAAATTCAGGATGCCATATTCCGGAATATTCTATAAGTAAGGTTGTTCCAATCTAAAAATGAGCACTATTATCATTTGGATAAAATTTGCAAAGTATTGATGTGGGCTTGAGCACATTGAAATTGTTAGGAGACTTGTAAAATGCCTTGGAATCTTTGAACTTGACCCGAGAAAGTGATGAGTCCTATTGAGACTTGACCCGGTCTCTAAACATTGGCCGGCTAACCGGGTTGACGCCGTCCGTTGACTCAATCTTAAGACCATACATGTCACTGAGGTTGGAATTATTTTGAAATTTTTTAAAATGAAGGTTCGAAGTTTCATTAAATATTAAAAAGTCAAGAAAAGAAATGATATTTAATATAGTACTGGCAAAGAGAGAAATGAAAGAAAACTGGCCTCACTCAACTTTGTGTTGAAGCAAGCTTTCAATGATGATATCATGGAGCTCAAGTAAGAGTAATTTTTTCCGAGTCCAATCATAACCATAACCCATCCTTCAACAGGCAGTTGGAAATGGGAAATCACTATGATGCTGTTTTTTGGACTATATAGGTTGGTTTTTGGCATTGCTAAGGTGGATTAAGTAGCACGACAATTATTTTGTGTGAATATCATTAAGGTTAAATCTATTTTTTTTAGTACTTTGAATTAAGTAAAGCACACGGAACAAAGTTTGATAAATTATAAGTTTGAACTCTCAACATCTTTTTCATGATAATCAAAATTTATCCATTTTACTTCCAAGTATGAATGTAAAATTGGTTGTAGGGATGGACTTAAAGTGGTCCTAGAGGGGGCAATTGCCCCCCTCAAATTTTTTTTTTTTTTAAACACTAATTACTAAGTATTTTTTCATATTACAATTATATACCAATAAAATTTTAGTGTTGTCACCCCTGAAATTATAAAAAGTTAAAAACATTCCACTTTTACCCCCTTATCCAATTTCCTGGTCCATACATTGGTATTGGTTTAACAAGTTTGTGCTTGCCCATTTATTCAAAAGCTTAAACTGTTGGATAGTGATGCATACCCAATAATTTGTACCAAATTACTCGCTAATCAAAGATTGGATATGACTCTGATGCCAACTGTAACGGATGGAACGCTTGTCCATTTACTCAAAAACTTAAGCGGTTGGGTAGTGATATATACCTATCCATTTATATTCAATTACTCTCCCATCCCGATTCGACCTGACAAATCTCTCCTTGTAACAATTGGAAACTACGATCAACTATAAATTATCATTTTCCAATATACACACCATTTAAGGTAAGAATACGATTTCCTGAATCCCTGCTAACGCCGTTATTTCTCTGGAGGCATCAATTTCTATTATTAAGTGAGTCTTTATTAAGCAAGAATATTGCAATGTACATATTAGGGGATAGTATTTTACATAGGATTATATATATACATTACACACATCCGGTAATTGTCACCTTTCTAGTAAGAAAAGAAAAGTTTTGTTAGACTGCCCAAATACAGTCTATAATTGAGAAGAAAAAAAATAGATAAGAGTCAGGTAATGGATTTGTGGAAGAATCATCTTCTGTACCTAAACATCAAAGCTCCAATGATGATGTCATTCATTTCATGTGGAAAAAAGCCATTTCTTAAACCCTAAGAATGAAGCATGTGTCATATCCATCCAGAACCAAAACAGAGAAGGAGAAGAATCTGAAAAAAACAGAGAAATTTAAAGATGATATTCTGTATGTAACTTTATACTCTTTGATATACCATATATATGCATTTGTTATGCTAGACCTGAAATGGACACTAATTAATAGGAAGAATTGAATTAAACCCAAATTTAGCCAATCACTCATATTCTTTAATTACTATGACATTAATTTCCAAATTGAGGTTCAAATCAACTTTATTTCCATTGACAATATTACCATGTCAACAACCCATATTACACGCCCTCTATAGGGAAAGAGTTAAGACTCGGAGACAGAAACTTCATGGAATATCTTGTCAACTGCCTAACTAATGGTTTTATTTGTAAAGGGACACAAGTGTACCTATACCCTGATGCTTTCCACATTTAGATTGATCTAGATTTGTTGTATCATAATTTTCTAATCATCCAACGGTGGAAATGAAACAAATGATACAATGAGAAAGTGGGTCCCAATTAAACTAAAAAAGCTTAACTGTGTTCCCACCACAGGAAGCCCAAAGTGGAAAAGGAGGGTAGAAAACATGGAAAAGGCAGAGGAAGAGAGAGATATAAGATCCAAGCAGAGTCATTTCTTTTTGAAATTCAACCGCTCCAATTTTCCAATTCCTCTTCACCAAATTTCACATGAACAGAAAACCCATTTCTGAAATCGTTTAATCTTTAATACCCAGATCGCCTTTTCTCATGTTTCATTTGCATCTGATCATCTCCCCAAGTTTTTTGGTTTCTGCAGCAACAAGAAAGCATCAATCTTTACCTGTGTTTGCTAAAGCGTTATCCATGGTGTTGTAACTCTCTCTCTCTCTTTTTCTCTCTCTTTGTTTTTAAATTAGTATATTTTTTATCCTGTCATCAATCTTTCCTGATTTAAGTTCTTCCTTGTTCGTTTCAAATTTTCAATCCTTATTAATAGATTTTGTTTGTTTTCCATAAACTTCTCATACTTAATAGGAACTATAATAAAATTTCTCCCCTGAATTCTCTGTAAATTTAAGGGGATTTTCCGTTATTCAATTTGAATTCAATTCCCCTGTTCTCCTGGCCTAGTACCTTCAAATTCCCATTTTTAGTTCCTTGTTCGGTTCAAATTTTCAATCCATATCAGCAGATTGTGTTTGTTACAAACTCCATAAACTTCTCATTCTTAAGAGGACATACAATTATTTTTCTCCTCTCAATTCTCTGTAATTTTAAGGGGTTTCTCTGTTTTCAACTTGAATTGATTCCCCTGTTCTCCTTCAAATTCCCATCTCGGTGAACCCGGTTCCAAAAAAATCTGAACAATGGGAATTCAGAAAGACACTGTGAGATTCAATGTTGGTGGCAAGATCTTCCAAACAACAACCACAACCCTCGCCAATGCCGGCCGCAATTCGCTGTTGGGAGCAATGTTCGACGACAACTGGAACCTACACTCCGATAACTCCGACGAGTACGTCATCGATCGGAACCCGGACTGCTTCGCCGTCCTCCTTGACCTCCTCCGAACAGGGGAGCTCCACATTCCCTCCCACATACCCGAAAAACTCGTATACAGAGAAGCCCTGTTCTATGGCCTTCTCGACCACGTCCGGTCATCCAAGTGGGGTCAATTCGACGGCAACAGACTCCGGCATTCACAGTCGATAATGGGTCGATCACCTGGGGATGGGACTGCCATCCGAGCCGGCCCGGCCGGTGGGTGCTGTGTGGCACATGGTAGTATTGTACATGTGTATGATTGGATGCTAGAAGAACACCCTCCACTCAATCTCGATTACCAAAGAGTTAACGACATCGGTTGGATTGATCCGGAGGGGGTGGTGGTCAGCACTTGTGAGCGGCTCAGTCGCGGCGGTGGCGGTGGAGGGATGGCTCTGTTCAGTGCATCAACAGGGGAGCTCAGGCACAGGTTTGAAGTGTCACATGAGAGTCAAGTCAAGAGCTACACTGGTGGCGCTCTGAGTTTTAGCCCAGATTACAAAATATTTTCTAGTTGCAAAGGTAGGAGAAATGAGTATGGGATTGGTGTTTGGGACCAAGAAAGTGGTAGGCAAATTGATTTTTACTATGAACCACCAGATTGGTCATTGGGTGAGGCTGACAAGCTTCAGTGGTTACATGACACCAACTGTTTGATGGTTTCAACTTTGTATCCTAGAAAGGACAACTGTTACATTAGTTTGTTGGACTTCAGAAGTAAAAGCATGGTTTGGTCTTGGTGTGATGTGGGGTGTCCGGTGGCCTCCGCGGACGAGAAGCGAGTCCGAGACGCCATAGCAATGGAGGAAGCTAATTCTATATGCGTGGTGAATGAGTATGAGGATTTAGGGTTTATGGATTTGAGGAGGAATGTGGGGAGTGTGAGATGGAGGTCTAGAGGTGGTTTGGTGAAGGGGAAGATGCCTGATGAGACTTGTTACCCTAAATTGGGATTTCATGAGGGGCAGCTATTTTCGTCCATGAATGATAGTATTTCAGTGTTTTGTGGCCCTGATTTGGTGTTGACATCGAGGTTGAGACGGAGCTATGGAGGTTCAATTTGTGACTTTTCGATCGGCGGTGACCGGCTTTTCGCTCTTCATAGTGAGGAAAATGTGTTTGATATGTGGGAGGCTCCACCTCCACCCATCGTGTGCTAGTGCTCAAATGGTGGTCTTGTTTTTGCAGCTGTGTCTTTCATTTTGATCAAAATAGTATTTTTACTCATTATAGAAGATGAAAATACAGTTGATGCTTACAAGTTAGATAATGATAAGAGTGTTGTAATATAGACTTGTTTTTGTACAGGGTTTCCTCATAAATGATAAATGATAAAAACACTGATTGCTCAACAATCATAATTTGAAATCTTATTTCCCACCTTACATGCATTATTTACTAAAATTGTAAGGCTCTACTAGCATAAATTGATGCATTATAAAAATGACTCAACGAAGAGTCTTTATAATTTTTTGGAGTGTCACACAGTAAATCTTTCTAAGTGTTTTTTTGGAGCACACCATCTATTTTAATTTGAAGGAGTTGGATAAATTTTATTTAAATTTGATCACTAAAATCTAGTCTAATTTTTCCAATTGAAAAATAGGAGAATGACCTAAGTCACACGATCTTTTTTAACAATCCTTCTTAATAGGTGTCGCTCTCATGCTCAAATTCTTACTGTTTATGACATAATTTTGCTGCTCTCGAATTCATTCTCATTCCTACTCTCGCTTTATGTGACTCAGGAGATGACACAATCTCAATAAAATGTCTAATTCTTTGTGAAAGACAAGTGATGCTCTTTAATCTCTCTTTTTTAAGACATTGCTTTCTTTTGACCATAGCTTTTACAAAGTTGATTCTTTTGTCCTGTAATTTGATGCATTTTACTGGTCTTACCATGGAGAAAAAGTCTCTTGCATGTGAGCAGTTACAACTGCTAAGCTGGTTGACAGATTAATGTAGTGGTGTAGTGGTTCACTTGAAAGTTAGGGTTTTGCTTTAGTTTCAGTTCAGAATTAATTCATGATATGTCAGTATGTGTGTATATATATATGTAAGATTATATATATACTTTGAATCTTATGAGCCAAATCAAAATAACAAAATGAAACTAACAGGTATATTATTTTATGAGCTTTACCTGCAGGCATCAAATATGTGCTGATGATCACACCCACATCAACAAATCCCACACACCGGCCTTTTTAGACTTTAGTCTTTAGTCTGTCACATTTTATATTACAAATCTAACAGGCCTTCCTATATATATCTGTTTACCCTTTTAAAATATTAATCAAACTGCACTTCACATGTCCCTTCTGGTCCGCCTATTATAAAATATAGTAATTTTTATTTTAATTTGTACATTTATAAAAAAAATTCTATTTAATGTCCCCCTAAATTTTTAAATTTCTAAAACAGTCTTTTAAATTTTTCTTTCCTTTTTCTTTTGCTCTTAATATTCCTTTGATTTCCTTAAAAAAAAAGTTAAATTTTTATTCTGTACTCAAACTCTAATTTTTTTTCCTTTCGAATTTTTCATTTTTCTTCCCTTTTAATTCTTTTTCTTCCTATTAATTTTTTTTGGCCCCCTACTTCTTAACATTCTTCTTTTTGTCCTTAAGAATAATGTACGTAATTTTTTTTTTTTAACACCACGCCCCCTCTGAATTAAAAACCTGCCTTTGCCCTGATAATACATATCATTGATTTACCTTATTATCATAAGTTCAAAAGGCCAATGGCTGGAATGCCCGGTCAAATTTTAGCCCCATAGGGCATATATATATATATATATATATATATTGATTATTGTGATTACAAATAAAGTACAAAAACTGGAAGTTTCCTCTAAAAAAAATAATAATAAATAAAAAATCAATAAAAAACATGGTTGCAGGGTCATGGTCTTCGAGGAAGCTTCCTTCCATGGATTTGTCTAATGACTTAGTAGTATGAATGTAATTAGTCTAAGTCATAGTTACACAACATTAGGTGACAATTTGGGGACTTGACCGGAGCGATTGTGGTGTGACATTGACTAGTTATAGCACCAAAGACCGCAATATACCCGTATGTCAAGAAAAGCTACACTTGAGTTAATAAATATTTTTATTTTTCATTTATGTAAGTATTTATGCACACATCTTTTCATTTATGTAAGTATTTATGCACACATCTTACAAATAACTCGGTACAGAATTTAATCCTCTTATCTCGAAGTTATACCATTAGAATATGGCTCTTTAGCAATTAAGAGCTATGTGTTCTTAGAGGTTGACCCTTCTGGCATTGTTCTACTTGTATTTAAATAAAATTAACTCGTTGTTGATCTTTTGTCAATTTTTTTAACCTCTCCGTATTTTAAATTACGAATACAGGCTTTAACTCCTCATCCACGTGTCATAGTGAGACATCTGAATGCATCCTATTTATTACTGATTCTTGCATGTGTGCTCTTGTGATTGGCTCAAATTTCATCCCCAACAATACAAATTAGGTGCTGTTTGATGAAATTAAGCTAGTAGTAGTGATTTTTTTTGATACATGGCCCTTTGGTATATCGAAGGACCATACTTGTTCCGATTTTTAATTGACATAATGAATTAGAGAAGCATTTTTCAAACATAGCAATTGGAAGTCATATTCATATGCTTTATATATAGGCTCTCCTATGGTCACAAAGAGGAGAATGTTGATAATATCGAACAATCTTTGTGGTAGTCCAAATGGGCCCTTCATTTCCTTGGAAAGAAGAATCAAAACTAGTGTTTGGCTACATCGTCTAAACACACACTGAACCCCAATTGGTCTTATATAAACGACAGTGTTCTTTTTTCTTCTTCTTTTTCATGTTCTCTCTCTCTCTCTATATATATCTATATATATATCATTTTTTTCCTTGTGGATGGCATTTAGTTGTGGTCGGCAACATTGTACACTTGATGATGATGATGATATGTAAAAACTTGGAAAGTTCCTAAGATTTCACCTAAGAACTAGTCAACAACATTCCTCATTCTATAAATTTCCAAAAAGAAAAAAACATTCCATATTATATACATCTTGTAAACATATGCGGTATAACGCGGCTAAGGTAGTGGGACCTCTATTTGGAATTTTTTTTTTATGGCCTACACATATGAAGGACATAAAATGAAGAGCTAGCCGGCTTTTAGACCCCATAAGAAGAACAAAAAATGCAGAGGTACAAGATTTTAGAACTAACGTTGAACATCACTTAAGAGAGGTGGTTGACACCTATACCATGTACATGTGTTTTAAAATTTGTGAGCACCGGGAGAATAGCGTATAAAACAGACATTATCTACACAGATAAATAGGTCACATTTTTTTTTTCCATGCCCCCACTATCCGTGACATCCCAAGAGGGTTTGTAAAATTTCTATAAGGATTTAACAGATGTTCTGAGGAGATAGATACATTGAATCTCATCAATTGGTGGCTTAATTTTCTTTTTGCCACTGCATAATATATACAATAATTTAAACCTAAAAAACCCAAGAAACTAGAATTCAAAGCAGAGTTCTTGCTGTGTTTGGCAATATAGAATTCACAACTTGGAATGGGAATTGTGGATTAATTTAAAATAGTTTCACTCTAATTTCAATTCTAAAACATTGATTTCATGCTTCTTAATACAACACATATTTAAAAATTGGGTAGAAATTAAGGTGTTAAAAACTCTTAATTATCACTTGAACTAGAGATTTAGAAAGTTGCAGTCACCTGATTGCTGTTACTTTGTAATGTCTGAGCAACTATTCAAAGAGTTCGCTGACAAGAGCAGTAGAAAATAAAATTTTCACAGGCACAAATGAAAATCTAACTCATATTGAAGGATGGACTAACAATCACAAAATTCTTAAAGAAGGTTGGACTATTCATTAGCCTACTCTTAACATATTTGTATCCAAAATCCATTTTATACAGAACAATAAGTTTACCTCTATGGGACTTAAACTCTCAACTTGGAGTATACATACTTCGATTCCTTGTTTAACATACACACACACACACACACACACACACACACAGACATACATATATAACTGGTAATTTGTATTTTCTCTCTATTTTTCTTTATTATGGACAGTACCCTGATCTTATGTTTAATTGGTGAATGAACATTGAGCTTCCTATGAGTACAAGTCAGAATGTTCATCAGCACTTTGGCCTATTTTCGACAGACAGACAAAGGAAAATTCCTGCATGTTACAGTAATGTCATTGAAAGATGAGTGCTCTCAAGTGTCCGTCAAACAGAAGGAATGGGAAATAATGGTAAAATAGGCGAATTATCAGGTCAAGAACTTGGTCTATTAGACTATTACTTGGTCAAAACGAGTATATTTAAAACAATTGTTTTGTCTCAAGTGTCTTGGATAAGATGCTTTTGATGTTTTTATTAATTCATTAACTGCCATAAAAATAGCTCTTCAGAAAACCAATTTGCTCCTTTGATGTCTGAATCTAAATCTTACGTTTGTAGAGATTCAGAATAACCATATACAGTGTTCAAAAGTAAAAAGGTCATCTACTGCAAAGGTTAAAGGAGAAACCAGAGCTTCAAACCATCCATGATGTCCACTTCCTACCTATTGTCCTTCTTCATCTTCATATTTTTGTGTAATCCTCAAAACATCAATTCAAGTAAGCATGACACATAGCATATATACACCATCTATAACCACATTGCATTATCATTTATCACTTTTTTTTGGATCTATTTTCTAGGTACTTGCAGCTTGGATTTCAACCAATTCCCTTATGAGCTCCATGGCGAATGCCTTGACACAACCACAAATTTTGTTGCATACCAAACCATGCAGTCATGCTGCCGCTCTGCCCTCCTCTCTATCTTCCAAGCAATGGCTGTAAGAGCTAACCATTCGCGGTCCATCTTCCTCGACTCAGCTCAAGCTCAGGACTGTGTTATCACATTCCAAAGTCTTCACAACAAAACTGACATCTCTAAATGTGAATTACAACATTTCATCTCTTCTACAGGCAAAAATCTGTGTTCCAAAGATGTTGATTCAGTCATAAATTCTCTAGGAGTGGAGGGATACAGTTCTTTCCAATCAAATTGTAACTCTTTATTGAATAGTACTAATTATGGCGACGACGCGTGCTTTGATTGCTTAGAATCATATAGACAGGCTTTGAATGCTTTGAAAGAAAGAGATGGCACAGATGGGAAAGGATGTGCTGAGGCTCTCCTTGTCAGTCTTGCAAGCTCGGATATCGATTCTCCTACATGGGTTCATGGAACTTTTTCTTGTTTAGAGGATGAAATAGGTAATTAAATTTAATCAATCTTCAAAAATAAACTTTTTTTCTCTTCAAAACTGCAGACTCATTCTCATTGTTATCCTCCTTTTTTTTTCTTTTTTCTTTTTTTAACTTGTGTTCCAGAATTTTCTTTGCCTACAAAAGTGCAAAAGAAAGGTAAGAGCAAAAACCATTTTATTATCTTTTCATTAAACCAACCATGATTTAGCTATTAACAGTGGCTGATAATGAAAATGTTTAGATGGGTTTATCCTGGGTTCCAAGAAACTGTTTGCAGCTGTTATCATCGCGGCTACACTTGTTATACTAGCTCCCATTCTTTATAAGCTAACACGTAAAAGACTACAAGACAGCAGTGACAAAGAGATCGAAAATTTATCAGGTTTGAATGTGACATGGAAGAGTGTGTGTGTATATATATATATATATATATAGTAATTTCAAATAATTTTTCTTTTGCTGTTTTGATCAATAAACAGTACTTTGTTACATGTTTTGTGGTAATTGCAGTTATAGTCCTGAAGAAAACATTCGAGGACAAGTCCATAAATATGTTTAACTGTTCTGATCTATATCTATTTTCCATAGAAGAATTGGCGAAAGCTACAAACAATTTTCACAAATCAAACTTGGTTGGAGAAGGAACTCTTGGTATGATTACCATTTTAATATATGTTACATGACTATATTTATATGTTTATGTGACATTTTCTTTTTCTTTAGGGAAAATATATCTCGGAATAATGCCTAGTGAAATGAGAGTGGCAATTGAGAGAATGAATGAAGGGATAAATCTTTATGACCTTACTGATCAAATATGGAGGAAGGCAAAAATAAGGCATCCAAATCTGGTGAGCATTCTGGGATACTGTGACAGAGAAGATCAATGTCTGGTTTACGAGCATTGTGTTAATGGTGATTTGGAAAATTGGCTTCTAGGTTAGCTTCCATTACTAAATTGATCATATAGTATATGAATTTTTTAAAGTGAAAATTCACTAATTTGTGTAGTACATATTAAATGTGTCTCGTAGGTGATCGGAGAATACCAATATTAACATGGGAACAACGGCTACAGATATCGATTGGCATCGCACGAGGTCTATGGTTTCTCCATAACAACCCCTTGGAGAAGATGGTACATGGAGACATAAAGGTTTAATTAATTTGTACTACAATTCTGAGAGTTTGCTTTGCTTATAATTTTAAAAAAAAATTATCAATGAGCTAATTAATCTTTTAATTTGGTTCAGCTAGCAAGCATTTTACTTAATGAAAGACTAGAAGCTAAGCTTTCAGGCTCCATCTCACCAAAACACAAGTTGAACATGACCAAGGGGTCGAAAACATTGGCTAATGATGTGTTCAATTTCGGCGTCGTGCTGCTTCAAATTTTGACAGGGAGAAAATCAAAATCTCTAGTTGATGAGGTTTGTGAAAATAGCATTACTATTAATATGATTTCATTTTCTAGTAGGCAAATGAAGCCTATTTGGTTTTTTTTCATCTTCCGTGCAGGCAAGAGATGTGACACTAAAAGGTGGGAGTGTAAGTGAAATGGCAGATAGGCGGCTGAGAGGGGCATTTGTATTAGCTGAATTTGGGAACGTATTTGCAGTAGCTGTTATTTGTACGGCTACAAATGAACTTGAGAGACCAAACATGGAACAAATTCTACAGAGACTTGAGCATTAATGATTTTTTTTTTTTTTTTTTTTTTATACATTCAATACAAAGTTGAGTAGTATTATAGGTTACATTGCCTTTAATTTTGATGTATAATTTCTTAAAGAAAAACTGTAAATAAGTTTGCAACAGTGTAGTTTGATTCGCTAAGCATATTGTGCTCCGTAGCTCGAACTTATTTTGGGTTTGCATAGCACGTCTAGACTTGTTTTGGCATTTCGGCTTCCATGTAAATAATTAATTCAAGTAAGAGGGTAGACATTACACTCACTTGTTATAACTGTGACTCTATCTATATATAGAGATTCTCCTCCCGAGCAATGATTAGAATATATTATAATCAATGAGTAGGATTTAATAACTAGAACTTTGTACAATATACCCTCTCTCATATCCTAAAATCATCTCCAATTTATCAATTTTTACAGAATAATTCTCTCTGCCTAGAACACTCTTATATTTCTTTATATATATATATATATATATATATATTATATTATTGAAATTAAAATATATAAGACATAAGAAAACAAAATTAGTATAAGTGTAAATTACATATAAAAAAAAAAAGGTACTATACTCAAACATATTCCAGAGGATTTTAGTTTTTAAGTCATGCTCATTGAATTCGAACGGGAGTCAATTTTCAAACTTATAGCCTTGAAAAGAGCAATAAATGTTTTTATTATTATTATTATTTTTTGTTCACACGTGCATTTTCCTTTGCCCCTAAATTTTTTTCCCATAGTGATAAATTATAATTTTTGTCCTTATACTTTATTTTATTTTCAATAACATTAGATATATATTTTAAGTAAATAATAGTTTATTCTATTCCAATCACTAAATATTCTTTTGTATTATTCTTATTTAATCATTTTTATGTATTATTTTAATTTTCAATAATAATTTTAGTTTTAAGTTTCAATTGAGAAGTTGAATCTTATCTTTATTGGTATATATAAAAAGAGGCGATATTCGCACTTCAGTTTTATCAACAATTTATCTTCTTCTTATAAAAGAAATGACAAGAAGATTTCTGAACTCGTTAATGCACCATTTCATATTTTATAATGTCATTATTACTCTTTAATACAACTTTTACTATTTTAAATTTATTCAATAGAAATAATTTTTTTTTTTTTGATCTTGTCAAAAGAAATAATTTATTCAACAAAGATAATTTTTTTTAATAGGTACTTTTTATTTCTTGGTTAGTCAAAATAGGCAATTTATTCAACAGATGTTTCTTTTGTTTTGGTTACTTTTTAAGTCTTTTTTCTTATTTTTTTTCCTTTAAAAAAAAAAAAAATTTATTCAACTGAGATTTTTTATTTTATTTTTGTCTTGTCAAAAGAGACCTAAAATAATAAAAGATTAGAGACCTATAAAAAATTTGAACGGGCAGTTGTGTCATTTGAAAAATAGTATTCATTTACTTATAAAGTTAGGAGTAAAGTTGTCATTTCTTTTAAGATTGGAGTGTAAACGTAGAAAAGTAGAGTTTCAATATTGCCTTAAAAAAAAAAAAAAAAAAAAAAAAAAAACTATTATCATAATTGAAAATTTGTTTTATTATTTAATTTTATTAGATTCGTACTACAATTACGAAAATACTTTTCAAACTCGCTCTTATCCGGCCTTGTCAACGAAAGTATCCATTCTAAATGGCACCTCATTAACAAAGATAGAGATGGAGATAACATTTCCTGCCTCAAACGGACCCATTGCCATCCCTACATCTATACAAGCCAAGCTCCCATTGGTAATAGATTATTCAACTGCGTCTTGTATATAAAAATTTACATGCATTGATATTAGACGTATGATTTATGAAAATAGTTTAACCGCACAATAAAACCCTCCCTTACCACTATTATGAGATTGGTTTTTGAGAGACTCGTTCCACTAGTGTACTGGAACTATATATATTAGTCTTGGGATTTACGCTTTTGACATAGATGTTAAATTTTGTTAGAATGAATAAAAGATTAAATTTTGTTGGAAAATGTTTTTCTTTTGTAAATCAAGTGTTTCAGTTGGACAAACAACAACCATTGCAATATATATATATATATGGTTGTAGTTTTCTTATGTATGTCTGAAAATGTGATACGCTCTTGAATTACATAAATCTATTGAATATACAGTAGAAGAAAGGTTTCAAATTTGAATCTTTCTTGAGGGAGTGTGTCACTACCCAAAGTCATTGGTTTGGGCCTCATGACATTACGAAAATTGAGGTCATACCTAGTCCAATAATGTTAATTGATGCCAACTTTAACACCAAACTTATATTTTATGCCACAATTCCCTTCTAAATTGGTGATGCATTCTCAGTTTTTGTTAAATTCTGAAGCAAAAATTAAGAATTATATATATATATATATATATTTCTCCATCAATGGTTGTGTGCATTTAATCTCCAAATTGTGATCATTTTAGAACAATCCCAACTAAAATTTTATGAGAGAATTGTCAATAACAATGTCAATAATATCATATCTGAAAAAAAAAAAAAAAATCTGATGCAATGTTATCTACAAAGACATCAAAGTCAATTAGTAGGTAAAACATAACAGAAAAATTAGTTAAATGATAGGATTGACGTTAGGTATGGGGAACAATTCAAATAAGCCCAACAATATTCCATCAATACCAACTCAATTTTTAGGTGAAACATTACATGTTATGTATAACCCTAAAACATTCTGGAGCTTCTAATCCTAAAGTAAGAGTAATTCCACAAAATTAAAACCAATTTCATTAACATAAATATTCCTGAAAATAACAAAAAAATGAAAACAAGAGTCTCAAATCGTTACCCAACAATCATGAAATTCCCAAGTCTTAGCCTCATATAATCACACACACACACACACACACAATTTACAAATCTAACAAGGGAACATGTATTATATTTGAGTTTTCCTTGAAGTATGAGTTCCCAAAAGTAAGACCAAAAGGGGCCAAATTAAGTTTTGAGGCGAACATATATTAAATCTTTTTAATTTTTTCCAAACTTATCGATTCATTTGGACACTTACATTTTAGGATTTTACAAAATTTTGGGACGTCATACGCTATCTATAGTCTCTATGTAGGTCTGCCCCTGGTTGAGGAAGAATCCAAATAATATATGTTACACCTAATTTGGCAATGTGCGTGGTCTGACCTATATTATTGATAATTGAAACATTACACGTGTATGTATAGCCTATCATGAAGATATTAGTGATGAAAATACTTCTTGTATCTGCCCCCTTAACATATATGCTGAGACAGTGATACAATAACAGCCTATCGAATGTCCATTGTAGAGAGAGAAAGAGAGAGATGTCTAGAGAGAGAAAGAAAGAGAACTGGTTGAAATTTGTTGGTTTTAGTTTCTAACTAACATGGTGTCACGAAGCTCTATCTAAATCTTTCACTACATACAGGTGTCTAGAAAATATTGTTAGTGTCGACAAAACGGCACTAAGATGGAGTCGACAAGTGTCTAATGAAAGGTGGGTTGACTATCACGTGAATTGATCATATGAAACTACATTTTCTCAACTAATAACCAAAGTGTTTCAAAAATTATTGGTAGATGGGAAGAGGAATGGTAGTTTGTTTGGTGAAAAGATTAGGAAGACAGATAACTGAAAAGAACATAAGTATGATGCTAAATGCAGTTGAAATTGCACAATTTCGATTTTTGGATATGTGAATTTTGCGGTGAATTTCACAAGATTCGAAGACTGAGGAATCATAGCACAATGTTGAAAATAGAAATATAATTAAAAGAAAATAATTACACAAAAACATACAATTTACATGATTAGACAGAATTATTCTACCGACGTTCAGGTAGCGTACTGAAACTTTCACTATCGATAATGAACTTTTATCGCAATTTGAATGTCTCTCAACACATAAAAACTCTAAACACGAAAAAAAAAAATAAAGGAACTTAAACACAAAAGATATCTAAAGGTATAAAACTTATGATTTAAGCTCGAAAACCTCAACACAAATAGAATGATACTAGGAAATTGAAAGATTTGGTCTCCATGGTTGAAAATTGTACCCACTAATGAGAATTGAGATTCAATTTACACATGCTTCAAACCTATAAGCACAACACATTATTATCTTTTAAATTGAACACTAATTTCTGAATCAGAGGTCTAAAGAATATACCCAAATGTGTCTGGAAAGTGGAAACCCTAATTTCCTGAAATCAATCATATTTGTTCTCAGACATTAAGTTGGAGTTATTCAAACCAGCTTTGAGTAGGAAAATGGAGGTATCACTAGCCCAAAAAAAAAAAAAATTGCATTATTGAGTATTATTGAATAAATATTTCAAATGAGTGGCCATTGATAACTTATCCTATAAAGTAAGGTTCGGAAGACTTGTAAGTCTCTTTCTCTCTCTACCACTTGTCACTTGGATAATTTTGTTCACGTAACTTCCATTTCATAATTAATTAAACAATGAACTAATAATTGTTTGGACCACTTGGGTATTTAATAGCCTCAAAAAGGAAAAATGGTAACATCAATTTCACATGAAAAGTACAAATTTATGTAAGACGAAATTCAAGCGTGACATGTGTTCGTGATCTAGATTGTGTATTTCTTAATAATGCCACGAGGAGATTGGAATGTTTGATTTTGTGTTTGGACATGTGATTTGTCTCGATAACAAGTGCAATATTATTGGGTGGATTTGAAATCCCTCTTGAAATTGATAAATTAGAGGTGTATTGATGCATTAATTCCATGTGAATACATAGATTAATTTATTGCAATGATTCGTTCCACTAATGGCCTAGTTTTTATGATGCTTTCACAAATTTTTTATATGTAGATTAAGTATAAGCCTCCTAGTTCAAAATTTAATTTATTATATTTTTAATATTTTTAATTTATCATCTTGTCTTGACATAAATGTCACGATCAAATAATGTCAAGACAAAGTTTTAGAAGGCTGTATTAGGAAATTCATTTCATACCACCAT